CTTCCTGATCGGTTATACTTTTAAATGCAACCCCTAATGAATATGGGATAAAAGTCAATTTCTTTTACTCTGGGATTATTAGACAAAGGTTCGGTCTCAGTTTTGACATGGTTAAATTCCTGGGAGACACCTTCAAATCAGAGCTGACTTCTGGTGACTGCCTGGACCAGTTCCTACAGTTATCTTGGCAGGTTATCGCAAGTACTTTACCATTCCCTGGTTCCTAGGCTTGAGAGAGAGTGACAGCACAATGCCTGCAGTGACCAGTGTGTGTGTAGGGGGGAAAAGCAGGCCCAATGCATACAGGGTCCCCAGGGGGTGGGAAGTGAAGCACAGGGTGCCTAACCCTAACCCATGCCTCCCATACACTTGAGGTAGCTTGTGCTTCACTTAACAACGCACATGGTTGCTTAACAGCCACATCGGAGAGAGCAGGTCACCGTGCTTAATGACTGTCATGACTTGCGAATATAACGGGCAGGCTCCACATTAAGCTTATGAGTCAAAGACTAGTCTTCGTATCAAAGAAGTCAATAATATTTGGTGTAGCCTGTTCTTAACAAACCCTTGCTGGCTTCAAGGGATCACTTTGTTCATTTCTAGTTACTCACAAACCATCTACTTCAGCGGTTCTCAACCTATGGGTCGCGACCCCATAAGACAAGTATCATAAGATAACTCCATTATTCTTTCAGACCACACAAAAACTAGTACATTTCAATAGCCAGAATTTGCACCCATTGGTTGATTGATAGAAAATTGTATAATTTCTCACCTCTTACATTTCTATTTACTACAGAATATCTAAAAGCAAGATTATATGGAATTTAAAGTTAGTTTCTATAAATTAGTTTAGGGCAGTGGTTCTCAACCTATGGGTCGCGACCCCATTTGGGGTCGATTGACCATTTTATGGGGGTCGCCAAGCAAGGCTGTCCGCCATTTTATTTTCCCTTTTCCAGCGGGTGCCTTACCTCCCTTGGGCTGGGCCAGCTGGTGATCGGCCTGCTCCGTCTCTGCCACTTGCCAACTACGCCTCGGCCGGCGCAGGGGGCGGAACCACGCATGCGCGGCGCTCCCGGGCAGGGAATGTCCTCGACTTACGACCGGTTGGGTAGTCCTTGACTTACGACTGGTTTAGTCCTCGACTTACGATCGGTTTAGTCCTCGACTTACGACCGGTTGGGGGTCGCGGCATTAAAAAGGTTGAGAACCACTGATCTACTTGATTACCCTTTCCAGGATTTTTCCAGTTATTGATGTCAAGATGACTGGCCTGTAGTTTTATGGATCCACTCCCCCCCCCCCACTGTTTATAAAGATTGGATCTACATCAGCTCTTTTCCAGTCTTCTGGCAGTTCCCCTCATTGCTCCAGAATCTCTGAAAGTTTTCATTCAGTGATTGTGAGATCATATCTGCCAGCTCCTTCAGAACTCAGGGATGTACTGAAAATAAATCAGCAAAACTATTCCAAACAACAGAATTTGTCAAGGGTGCATTTTATACTGCAATCCAAAGGCATGGGAGATAGAAAGCTCTGATTCTCTGGACATGCCCTTTTATAAATTATATCAAAAAGGACAAAAAGGCAGTCATTATAACTCATTAAAGATGCTAATATTTGATGAGAAAATATTTATCTCCAATACATAGGGATTAAAAAACAAACAAACAAAAAACTGCAAACATTATACCAAGGGATATCAAGGGATGAAACTTCACTTGTATTAATGAGTCCTGTATTTTTATTTTTATTTTAAAACCAACTTACATATTTGGAGGACATCTATCAAGTTGATTTACAAAGACATTTAGAATTCCAAATAGACTATTTTCATGTGCTTCTAAAAATAAGCCTACAGATCATTTTGTCATTTTGCAGTGGGTTTTGAATCTTAAAAATTATGTGCCAGACAGCAGAGAAGTTGTTGATTATTGATTTTAAAAATGCTTGTGATCACCTATCCAAGAGAATGTAATTCCTGTGGTATTACAAAACCAATCCTGGCCGTAACTGGAGAGACAGTTTGCTGTAGTAGTTAAGGTACCAGGCTAGAAACCAGGAAATTGTGAATTCTGATCCTGCTTGAGGCATGAAAACCGCCTGGATGACTTTAGGCTAGTGACTCAGCCCATAATTTCAGGTTCAGGAGAGAAGCTGCATCAATGAATCAACACTTGATTGATTTAAAAAAAATAATTTTCAATCATTTTATTTAAGTCATAAATGATAGCAGCACAACTAAGAGTCTCCAAAAAACAATTTACAACACTAAGTATATGGGATAAAGCCTTTTGCAACAGATGATTTGACTATTTGCAAAAATTAGATGTTCACACAGGTTTGGGATAACTCCTGGAAGCCCTCCTTAGAGTAAGCCTTTAAGGATAAATACACGGAAGAAAGAGTATCCCTGTTTGCAAGGGGTGTATATTGTCATTTTATTATTCCTAAGAAAATATTAATACCCAGAAATGCATATGATACAGGTGTCCTTGGCTAGAATTCAAAGTAGCAGATTTCAAAATTGCCATGATTGAGAATTCTCTCCCTCTCTCCCTCCCTCCCTCTCTCTCATCTAACTTGTATTATTTTGTGCATCAGTCTTAAGAATAGACTGACTCCAAAATTGCTTGTATGTTCAAAGGAGTGAAAGAAACTGAAACAGCTTGTGGCATTTGTTTCCTGTGTGTTTGTATATATTAACACATTTGTAGGGTTATAAAGACATACATAAAACACAAATTTACATTATAGGCTTGGTTGACTAAGTTGATGTACCAATCAAATGATTGCATGCAGTTAAACGCTTCAAGTGAAAAACCCTTGAGATGAATTTTCCTCATCTCTAATGGGCAACCTACCTTTCTGTATTTCAATGGAAAATAAGGATCTGAGAATATTTATTTATATATTCATCCTCAGTTTACATAGCTACCCATGTCACTTTTATTTAGACTCTAATTTTGTTGTGTCTGTATGAACTTAGGCCAGGGAAGAAATCTTGCAACTTTTATGTCAAGCGCTTTGCTTCTAGCACCTGAATGTTGTTGTTGTTAGTTGCGAAGTCGTGTCCGACCCATCGCGACCCCATGGACAATGTTCCTCCAGGTCTTCCTGTCCTCTACCATCTTCTGGAGTCCATTTAAGCTCACAGGGACCTGAATAGCAGGGTAGAAATTGTTCTCTAAATTGCCAAAATGCATTCAAGTCTGATGTGAGACCTGAAACAAAACTTCCATTCTTAGAAAAATCAGCATTCTTGCTACCTGTGTTTCTGAATCCGGTAATGACAAAGAAAAGCATTACTTTTGTAGTCGGTGCCTATTGCCCCAAGGATAGACATTTGTTTTGCAAAATATATAGAGCTTGAAGACATGTTCTTCTAATGATAATTTCCTTGTTGCCTGCTTGTCAGGTTTATTAAATGCTTTTCCTTCAGATTTCTCAGATCTTCTTTGTACCTACTTGTGTGGTCATGGTAGATTTTTGGGAAACAGGTTGAACAAATTTGGATTGCCCAAACTTCAGTTAACTGAATGAATTTTTTGCATACAGAAGGTTCGGGGTTTAATCCCTCACATTGCTAGTTGGAAGGATCATATATTTGGTGATGGTGAAGACTTTTTCCAAGAAGCACTGAAAAGCTGGATGGAGAATTAGCTTAACCCACTAAAAGACATATTCATGTAACTTGAATCATTCAAGTATAAACCCAGATTTACTGAAAAATGATTAGCCAAGCCATTCTACCTATCTGAAGAGGGAAACCATAAGATTTAATATAATAATTAAAAAAAACCACCATACTGTACTTTCACACCAAACTCTAATCTATAATAACATTTGAATAATGTTTATTAAATAATTATTTGGTTAGTTCCTGCCAATACTATATACCCATTCTGAGTTCAGATATAATCATCCGTGGTAAGATAGAATTAGTGAACTGTACAGCAAACCATGATTCAGTTACGATTATTTGCCAAAGAACTGTATTGGCATAGATTTGTATGTCAATTAAACCAGAGTAAACTACTTTTGATTTGTATAAACTGGTTTACTGTGACTGCCCACTAAAAATAGGTATATGAATAAATTCTACTTACATTTTCTCCAAACTCATACATTAAATCTAATGTTTTTGCTACCTATTTGAGGAATTCAAAGCAATTCCTCCGATGCCCTCTCTTACGTAAACTAAGCAATTCATTGATTAGCCATCCATTTTCAGACATATGTTAGTTTTGTTCCCTAACGTATGTATCAGTTTATTCTATAAACACTATTTGTAAATGGATTTATAATATTTTTAAAGACACGCAAAACTAAAAAGTTGCCTTTCATTGACAAATTTGTTGTAAAGCCTTCATTTGTTACCCAAGATTAGTATGAAACTATGAGGTTGATTTATTAGAATACATCAAAACAGAGATAAAGCAATTAGCAATTGCGTCATTAGCTTTTTAAAAAAAATGTATTGCAAATGTGACATGCCTAATCCAGATTGGGATTTTGGCACAAAAGGCAGAAGGATTTGACTTCACTGTATTTCTAATCCATTTTATTCTTTCTGACTCCTACACTTAAGCCTAACCTTCACTTGCTACTTGCATTTGTGGGAGGATGGTGTAGGGTGGATCAGTCCAAATTGTAATCACACTGGCTTTGAATTAAAATTAACCACATTCCAGTTTAGCATGTCAACTGAACTCAGTCTGTGACCTTACTTGATAGTTCAATGTGCCGTGTGAACAATATGTCAATTAGGTTAATTGAACCTACTGTGATCACATCAACCATAAGAAAAATAATGTGCAAACAGAGCCATTCATTATGATCCAGTACAGAGCTAAACTATATATCCTAGCTGGGTGTGCATATTTTTCTATCCAAAATAAGAAGCATTAAGTTTCTGACTAATAAAACCACTAGATAAAATGCATCCACAAATGGTCACTACTTATACTTTTGTGTACTTCTCTTTTAACTTTTAGGTGGTAACTCCAATCAGGTCAGGACAAGGTTATGTTTACGAGTTTCCTGGCAAATACCAGAAGGATACCTACGATATCCTACCAGTTCGTCCTCTTCAAGGGGTAAGTAGTAATAAAAAATTCATCAGCTCTGAAATTAAGTTGCCACCAAGGTCTTGACATTGTATCTATTCCTTCTGAACAGATCTCATTCTCACATTCCAAATCAAGGGTTCCCAACCGGGGGTGTTCGCACTCCCTGGGGGTGCGAGATGATATTCCAGGGGTGTGCGAAAACTTGAATTTTCAAAATTATAGTGTATGTGCATAATTCGTTGCCGTTATTTTGAACTTTTGCCGTTTTGCCGTTATTTTGAACTTTTGCGAGAATATATCAGAAGCGTTCTAGGGGCGCGGGATATAGAAAAGGTTGGGAGCCGCTGTTCTAAATTAAACATGTGATTTGCTTTCTTTTTAATCTTGATAAGATTAACTTTTTTACTCTCTAGATAGCCAGAATAGTTTACAAATACAGTGAAAGTTGGGAAGCAGAAAAGAAGGAAATCTACCTCTTTTTTGTGAGAGAGATAGCTAATTCAACTGATCATGAAAAATATGTGAAGGCCATAAATATTGTCTGTTGCATAGAATTTTTTTTCCTAAATGCTGAAACCATTTTTCCCATGAACATTTACAATAAATAGAGCCGATATTGGTGGAACATCAATTCAACTACAGTAAAACTATGACTTGAGAGAGAGTCTTTGTAGAGATAGAGAGAATGGACAAATGTCCATTAAATCCACGTGTGTGTTGTTTGCATAATAGTGTCATTTGCAATTAAGTCTTAATTTAGTAGATAAACACACTTTAACAAAAACTTGATAGGCATTACACTGTTAAACAGGGACTGAATGCATACCAAGTATTTGTTCATTACATCCAAAATCACTGGCATCTATTAATTTGAGGTTTTACTGCAGGGGTCTTCAAACTTGGCCCTTTTATGACTTGTGTTCTTCAATTCCCAGAATTCCTCAGCCAGGCATGCCTGGCTGAGGAATTCTGGGAGTTGAAGTCCACAAGTCATAAAAGGGCCAAATTTGAAGACCCCTGTTTTACTGTAACAGGAAGTACTTATTTGAAAACCAGTCTTGGTTTTTTTTTAATTTATTTGTGTTAAATGTCTACTGGGCTAACTAGACTGAGTTCCATTTTATTCATGATCACATACTACACCTAGATTTGGGCAAGCCCTGATGAAATCTAGTCTACTTCATTGAAGTAAACATATTCCAGTGGGATTGAAAACGGTGGGCAGGGAGGGGGGAGAACATGCTTTACAAGAATAATATGCAACATTCCTGATGATTGGTGTAAAGAGGCCTCAAAGTGGCCAGATCTATCTTTCTTTCCTTAAGGGATTCAATAGCTTCTGATTTTATTAATACTGTGATCCACAAAACGTGAAATTGGTTCTATTTTGGCATTATTGGAGCTTTTCTTTCAGGAACAGAGAAATAACACATATACACACAGAGAGAGAGACACACTCACACATGACCTTATAAAATCTTTGTAGCTCTACATCTAATATATAGAAAGAATATTTTTTGCTGGTCTTGGTGCAACAGAGTGAGGAGTGTTCTTGCACCTCATAAAAATTGTTGGGGATTAGACATCAGTGTGGGGATTAAGCATGGTTATCAGCAGCAGCTGCGCTCATATTTAAAGTAAAGATGACAGCAAGGGGGGGGGCTGAGATAAATCACAAGAAATAAAATTTCAGAAGGATCAAGGTCTGTTTTTGTTTTGTTTTTTTCAATGTGGTGGATCATCCTGAGCCTGACGGCATATATGGCTTCAAATACATCTTTACCTGGTTCTTTCTTCTTGGCAGTGATTTGGACTGAAAAATAATTGACCTACCAAAGGTCTTTCACAGTTTTATAAAGTGAAAAGGACTTAACTCTGTCTTTTTATCTTCTCTAGCTGAGAATCACTGTGTACATTATGTTTTCAGTATGTAAATCTTTTTTTTTTCCCCATTACGGATCCAAGGTGGGGAACAATACAGCATATTGTGCTTGCTTTACTGTACTGTCCCTCATCTTTGATCATAAAAATAAACAGATCCGAGAACCAGGACTGGCTACAACTGCCTGCTGAGCTATGCAAGAACCCTTAAATGACTAGTTGACTTTGTTTGGTTCTTTCTTTTCCCCGAAAAAAATCCCGAGCACTTCCAAGCCTTGATGGCAGTTAATCCCCTCGATAATCAAAGGGGACTTTCACTCATCTGCTTCTGGTGTGTTTCTTTAAAAACATCAGAGGCAGAAAATCTGCCAGCAATAGAGCACTGCCAAGGGGTAAAGAACAAACAGATATTCCCCCATACACACAAACCCTCCTCCTTCATTTTACATGCAGAAGTGAAGTGGACTTTAGTCCTACTCTTAGGCCGTCCGAGAGGAGCAACCTCTTTGGAAGGGGCTAATGTGAGACACTCAGCACTGTCTTCCAGAGGTCATCCTGGAGAGTCAGGAGGAATGAGCAAGAGCTATTTCTGCTTCCCAACTTCTGTTCTATGAGGCAGTTGCCTCATTGCGCCTAATCGTAGGGCTGGCCCTGAAATAAGCCTCTTGGCTTATTAGCCAAACTGTTTTCAAAAGTTCATGGAAGGGAGAATAGGGTGACCGAGAGACCATACACAAATTTTGTTTGTTGTCAGGAGACATTGGACAGACATTCACGGCTATTGGCTGGAGCAGCTTTAGTTTATCCTACCAAGACATGCCATTTGCCAAGGAATCAATTAGAGAGAGCCCAGACCGGATTTCATCAAGGCCGAAGAGGTTTTTCTTTTGCGTAATACATTGTTTCTCTGCTTAGATCTATGATGTCCCCCCTGGATCAGTTAAAAGTCCTCCACAAGCAGCTCAAATGAGTGATATGAAATCTCAAGGGATCTACGACGTTCCTCCCACCAAGGGGGTAAGTTTATTGAAGTTCCATTTAAAGCAAACATGTAATTTCATGCTGGATTGAAGACATGTTTAAACAAAAAGTATATTTTGCATTGAAGAGAAGATGGGAGAACTAGCAGAGTGCTTTGAACTCCGGGCCTCTTAACATTCCCCTCAAGCTTTATAGCTCATTTATTTTTTGTTTGGTTTTTTTTTTATAACTGTTATAAAGATATATTGCTGAGCATAATTATTATCCTTAGGTAAGATATTCTTGTAATTAGTGTTTTTTTTAAAAAAAAATATGTACACATGAAATGGACTGATTGTATCTTTGTACTTATCTAAGGAGAGTTCAAAAACTATGAAGAAGACAGAATCTTTTGTGAGGCTCCATCAGCACAAATCTCTATGTATTGTTAATATCAGGATGCACATTGGTTATGCAGTCGGTTTGTTTGGACTTCACTTCTGTGATACAATGACTGGATTCACACATCATATGAACCCTTAATATTACTCATTTGGTTTAGCAAGTTGTATCAGTCCAGTTGGTTTGGCAAGGGCCCTCCCACATACTCCAGTCGAGGAAAGAGGCAGGCTTTGAGGTTCTCCCCAACTTGTAAGGCTGCTGTAGTCTTTCCACACTAAGTCAATTAACACTAAAAGTTGATCAGCTCTTTCGCTGCTCTGGAAAATTAACACAATGAAAATAAATGTGCTAGTTTTTCTCACTGGTGGTGGGGTCAAAGGTTTCCACTGGCAGGGATATTTTCCTCATCCCAGCCCTTGGAATTTTTCTTCTCCTATATTGAAGATTGAACGACACTGTTTCTCCATTGTTGCTGATCTGAAGTAATTTTGCTATATTACTAGGGAACAGCTTTAAACATACACACTTAGATGCACAGCAACAAAAGAGCAAGGAAAAGGACAGGGCACTGAAGTTCAAAGAGTACTACACAGTGACATGCAAATAATGTTGATGATTTAGGGGCCGGGGGAATGGGTTTAGTCAGTGACTGTTAGGCTGATGTGTAAACTGGATCAATTTGTAAAAGTCTTTATACAGAGCATGTTTCAGTATCCATGAGGTATAAATTATAGGGTGAAGTTGTCAGTTTATGCCAGGTATCCACTGTACAAGATTTGATATTTGTTGGGCTCTGTTTGTCCTTGACAAGATTGTAGCTCAGAAACTCATGTTTCCAGCTGCTCATATTTCATAATGTACAGGTAGGAAAACCATCTAAATAATTGCTTTCTGTGCCAATACTAGCTTTGGCTGGCTATTTTCAAACAATTACATTATTTTTTCTGAGATTTGACCATATTCAGCCAGAAATAGCTCTTCCACGAAGTAACACTGCTTGTTCTCCATGTAAATGGTGGTCATACACATTTGATAACTTAATGTCATGAAGATATTTCTTTTAGCATAGTAACTTAAGTTTGCCGGTTATGTTCCAGATCTGTACCAACCCCTCTTCCTCATGCAGAGATGATGTGGATGCTAGAGAACGAATGACTGATTTGGCTGGTTGCATAAAGCATGAAGCGAGCTCAGAAGGTGTATATGATGTCCCTCCTCCCATAGCCAAGGCAGCCGTCTCTTCTGAGCTGACACCACTCCAGCAAGGCCTCTATGATATTCCAGTGAGCTACCAAACTCAATTTGTTGGACAGCAAATAGTTCCCCAGGCAGATATTTATGACACCCCTCGGGGAATTCCCTTTCCTGGACAGCATCTGGCATTTGGTGAAAGTCTGAACCCAGATGGAAAAGAAGGAATATATGACGTCCCTCCACAGGTCACACAGGACACTAAAAGGCTACCGGATGTTACTGATGGGATAAACCGATTGTCTTTTTCAAGTACAGGGAGCACCCGGAGCAACATGTCCACATCTTCCACAACATCAAAGGAATCTTCTTTTTCAGCTAGTCCTTCTCAGGACAGAAGAATAATACTGGATCCTGACACAGCCATAGAGAGACTTTATTGGAATCAGAACACAGTAGAAAATGCTGTCTCCAGTTTGATGGCCTTCATCAATCCTGACTGGCGGTCGTATGAGAACATGGAAAAATACATCAATAAGATACATACTGCCGTTGACAAAGTGGAACAGTCATTGGTCGACTACCTACATTTTGCAAAGGGGGCCACTGCCAATGCTTCCTATCTTTCAGAACTTAGCCTCTACAATAAAATGAGGAGGGAGCTGCAGAGATTGGAAGATTCCTATCAGATTTTGACCCAGACTAGCCATGATCTCAGTAATTGTAGTTGGTCCTTGAATGTCCTAGCACTCAACAAGCCTCAGAACAAATGTGATGACCTGGATCGTTTCATTATGGTGGCAAGGACAATCCCAGATGATGCCAAACAACTGACCACCAGCATCAGCATCAATGCTGAGGTGCTCTTCAAACAAGGACCTTGCGGCTCTTATATAAAAAATGTGTCAGAGAGCATGAATCCTATGGCTGATTATGTGTATGATAATCCTCAGGCTCTAACATTGCATCCTGGAGATAAAAACCAGGACCACTGCACCTCTCTATCGCCACTCCTTTCTAAAAACCAGCCTTACCAATGCAACAGCAATAATAGCTTAGAAAAGAGCTGGATGGACGATTACGATTATGTGCACTTGCAGGTAAGTTCCACCTACCTTTTCTAGATGTGTCATCCCAGAGACTTCTGGGATGTTTATAAGCATGACCTGAAGTCAGCAGTCCTTTCTTGCTATTGCTTTACTCCTATCCATTTAGCTATAGTGAATAAAATCCATCTTCTAACTGTCCTTTCAAACTATGCCTGAAGTGGTCATAGACACATTGTTTAGAAGCAGACTTCCCAAGTCAGTTGCTTTTCAGGTATACTCCCAATCATTCAATCATGAATGCCCCAAACCTGATTGATGGGTGAGGAACAAAAATGTCTTTCTATATCGAGATATATGAGAGTTCAGGATATTTTAGGCCTGATTAGATATCAGAATAACAGTTAGAAGGGACCTTGAAGGTCTTCTAGTCCAACCTCCTGCTCAGGCAGGAAATCCTATACAATTTTAGACAAATGGTTGTTCAATTTCTTTTTAAAAACTCCCAGTGTTGGAGGATCTACCGCTTCTGGAGGCAAGTCGTTCCACTGATTAATTGTTCTAACTATCAGGAAATTTATCCTTAGTTCTAGGTTGCTTCTCTCCTTGATTAGTTTCCATTCATTGCTTCTTGTCCTGCCTTCAGGAGCTTTGGGGAATAGGTTGACTCCCTCTTCTTTATGGCAACCAGTGGTAGGATTGAGCTGGTTTGGTAGAACCGGTAGCTAAATTTTGTTGAGTTCGGAGAACCAGCTGAATGTACACTGCTTCCTGAACTCCGTTCTAGGTCTCGGAGGCCTGGAGAAGGCCTCCCAGGCCTAGAACGGCCTGCCGGAAGTGCATGGATGCCACTTCTGGAAGTCCGTTCTAGGCCTTGGATGCCCAGGCCTGTATCCACATAGAGAACCGGTTGTACAGGTATTTGAATCCCACCACTTATGGCAACCCCTTAGATATTGGAACATATCTAAGATCTGTGTTATGGATCAACCATCTCTTTCATTTTCTAGCCAGTGAGTCATTATTGTCCTTCCCAATTCCATTCTCCCTACTTGTGCATCAGAGAATGTAAATACCAAGACAAGCCAGTTGGATTGTGGGTTCCAGAGATATGTTCTGGCAGTAACCAGCCATTTTCTCTCTCCTGTTAAAACATTATTAAGCAGAACAAGCTGCAACTGGACCATCATTAGGTCAATAGAAATAAAAATGAAAAGGCTCCAGCCATATGACAGAATGCACAAAAACCCTTTACTGCCTTCCCTACCATTTCGCAGGTTGTGCAACTCTTTTTTATTAGGATCGCATCAAAACTATAAGTTCTCACTGTTCTCATTTACTTTTTCCTCGCTACCAATGAAAAACCTGAGTGTAAACATAATAAAATACCTGCTGTTTAATAAACTAGTTAACTGCCATCTCAAGAGATGTTGTTTGTGACTTTTTTTTTTTGTATTTCAAATTTTCTCTGATTAGGGGAAGGAAGAGTTTGAAAGGCAACAGAAAGAGTTGCTGGAAAAAGAAAACATCATTAAGCAAAACAAGATGCAACTGGAGCATCATCAGGTAACTCCTACAAGTAGCATCCTAACAATCAGGAAGGCAAAATAGAAAGACAAGGACCCTGGAATTCTGGGAGGTAGAAATGTCCTAAAGCAAGGGTGTCAAACTGCCGGGCCGCGGGCCGGACACATCACGTGGAAACCGCGCCCACCCCATTGCTGGCAATGGCAAAACCGGCCCGATACGTTGCGTGATGTCACATGACGTCGCGAGTTTGACATGCCTGTCCTAAAAGATCACTTGCATCAACAGAGGCTTAAAAAAAAAAAGCTTGTGTTGCCCAGTGTCACTTAGATAGTGAGATGGTTGGCATATAAGTTTAATAAATGAATAAAAATAAAAGAAAGCAACCTGTCCAAGTACATATTTACTTACAAAGAGATAAATTAAAATAGAAGTACATTATGTACGATACTACTCTAATTCCTGGCTATATTTTCTCTGCTTCAGAACAGAATTAACATACATGGAGTAGGAAGAGTCCAAGTCTTCTCCCCACTCCTACAAGAAATCATGTTTGAGAAAAATGTGCATGAATTTGTGGGTGGAGAAGAAGAGTTTTTTAAAGCCTCCATTGATTGCAAGTGATCTTCTCCAGAATACTATAATTCAGATAATCAGTTTACACTCTGATTCCTCACCCACAGTAGCTTTTTGTCTTCTTTTCCCAAATGCCACTCAACAGTTCATACCTGTTTGTGTTTCTTCAGTTTTCTTGGATGATTGGAGAGTACCCATTGGGGATGTTTGTTTTTTAAGTCATCATAATCATGATGATGTTAGATTATTGTTGCTCACTGATGCATCCCTAAACCTGCATTCCTTGCAAATGACAGTATACAGGCTTGTAACATAAGGATCATAATAATCAACAGTTAAGAAATGTTTTATACTTCTTCCCATCTTGGGATTCTTCACTGTAGCCCACTGATCCTAGGCTGAACTTGTCAGGTCTCAACAATCTACTAAAAGGAAGGGTATCAAGCACTGATAGAACTACATGGTGTTGACTTTCCTATTTGCCTTTCAGTTGAATCAGTTCCAGCGATTGGAACAAGAAATCACAAAGCCGGTTGAAAATGACATCTCAAAGTGGAAATCACCTCAAAGCCTTCACCCAACCAAGAACCTGGTAGCCACTCAAGAGAGGCAGCTTCTTTTGTTTTATTCAGAACAATGTGAAACTCATTTTAATTCCCTCTTGAACGCCATTGATGCCTTCTTCAGCTGCATCAGTGCTGCGCAGCCCCCAAGGATCTTTGTCGCTCATAGCAAGTTTGTCATCTTAAGTGCTCATAAACTGGTCTTCATTGGGGACACCCTGACTAGGCAGTTGACCACTCAGGAAATGCGCAACAGCATCATGAATTCCAGCAACCAGCTGTGTGACTTGCTCAAAAGCATCGTTATGTCAACCAAGGTGGCTGCCTTGAATTATCCTAGCACAGCAACTTTGCAAGATATGGTGGACCGTGTGACAGATCTTTCCCATTACGCACAGTTGTTTAAGTGTTCTTTGGCTCACATGACCTCTTATTGAGATGCACAAGATGGACTCACATCAACAAGGAACTGGAATGTGTCTTCTATAATATGTACAGATTTTAAACTTGATCATGTATTTTTTTTTCTGTAGATGTTTTTATATGGAAATTTTTAAATTCATCTTATGGATTAGAAATTACAAAGATTTTCAGCAATCTCAGTTTATTGGTTTTGATATACATTTATAAATATCAAGTGGTATTGCCGTATATGTATATGTGAGGACATTTCATAGAATCTATTATGTAAGCACCTTAACAAAAGCATCTATCAGTTATGTGATGTATATAAGGGCTTGATTTTAGGATACCCATTAACCTGATGCTACTTTTCCCTTTCGGGGTCTACAATGTATATTTTATTTTAGCTTAATAATGTCATGTAGACAATGTTGTAAAGGCTATGGCAACTCTTAAAGTAAATATTGTTTTATGTCCAAAGGAAAGAGGCCTACAAACCCCATCTGGAATAATTGTTAGTAAATAAACTATACCCCCTTAACACTAATGCTCTGTAAATTTTATTTGGAAATGAAAGCAAGTTTATTTCCACATATTTCATTTCAAAAGGGACACACTCAGAATGACCGTCTTAATTTTACTTCAGATTCTGGAGACTGCCATTTTGAAAGACATAAATTGTACACTTCATAAGAGTAAGGGCCAGCAGTTTGGACTTCAGAAATCTAGATTAACTCTAGATGAAAGTGAAGACATATTAAATGCTAATCCTTTCTTGTCGTGGTTATTTCGATTTTCAGCAGTCCAAATCTGCTGTCCTTACAATAATACTGGTTTCCCCTTTGTGAAGATCTGATAATGTTCAGAGTCAGAATCCACCCTGAATTGAGTTCAAGCTATAAGGAACCAGAAAATACAGGCTGAAAAGTATACTAAGTGATGCTTGAAAAGGTCAAAGTGTGGAGCTACAAACCACAACCAGCAATTAGATATCTATCTTTCTCTTCCAGGAAGACAATAGATATGATTCAGTTGAAGAGTGCATGATCTTTAGCATCTGCACTTACCAACTATGAGGTGGAGAAGCTGAACAAGACTACTGCATGGGGCACAGCTTCCATCAAGTGGTCAGCCCTGAGTCCAATAGATCATTGTCTAATTATGCAAGCCAGGCAAACTTATACCACAAATTTGTGGATATGGCAGCAGTTGCAGGATGAGCTAGCCTCTCTGGGTAACAAGAAAAAAAATATCAGTCTTGTTATGTATTTACAGTTGATTAACAATTGGTTTTATAGGGGAAATGTTTTTTTTTGTGTTGTTTTTTTTTGTGTTGTTTTTTAACATGCTGTGAGCCGCCCTGAGTCCCTCTGGGGAGAAGGGCGGCATAGAAGTTTAAATATAAATAAATAAATAAATAAATACATTTTTCAATCCTAGGTCTTTCCTTGCAGGTGCTTCATCAATATTCTACATCAGAGGTCTTCAAACTTAGCCCCTTCATGACTTGTGGACTTCAACTCCCAGAATTCCTCAGCCAGGCATGCTGGCTGAGGAATTCTGGGAGTTGAAGTCCACAAGTCATAAAAGGGCCAAGTTTGAAGACCCCTGTTCTACATTAATGGTGCTACACCCGCCTGCTGTTTCAGAGTTTTTCCTTTAACAGTAACAGTTGCTGCCACGCAATAGAGTTAGGGTAACTTTAAAGTCTAGCAGTGAGGATTAAAGGGCCAGTGCGCTAGCAATGCTCAGTCATGATTGAAAGTTTAATGGCATTTCTGTCTCTGTTGCTCTGTGAACATTTGAGCTAAGCTAACTCTTGCACGCTGCTTATGCAGCAGGTTACTGTTAACTAAATGTTACCTACAACCTTGTGATAACTTGTCAACTTAAATAAACTACAGGTCTTTTCTGCACACAACAGCATGTTTTTGCAGTCTGGGTCTTTGTAGTCAGTATATTTACTTGGCAGATAATGCTTTACATTGCAATCCTAGGCACGTTGACTCAGATCTCGGGGCTGCCAATTGCAGTCAAGAGATTCCTACTGTTCTGTTTCATACTGATTTCTGCAACTGGTAGCCTTGATCTAAGATTAGCCAACGAAGCATGGTGAGGAGTACTTTCATTGCTGCTTTACAGTTATTATACATCATTCTTCATAAGAATTACAATTTTTATTTGTTGAGAGCTTGTTAGGTTAGTATCCAACATCTTACATAGGTAACTTATTTCCCTAACAACCTAGTGGGATAGGCTGAGCTGAAACAGGCTTACTGATCCATTTAGTCAACACTATATATGAACAGGCAGCAAACCTCACTTACACACTTAAGATGTATGACAACAAAGAAGAGCAACAAAGATAATCAGGGGACTGGAGGCTAAAACATATAAATAACAGTTGCTGGAATTGGGTATGTCTAGTAGTCTAATGAAGAGAAGGACGAGGGGTGACATGATAGCAGTGTTCCAATATCTCAGGGGTTGCCACAAAGAAGAGGGAGTCAAGCTATTTTTCAAAGCGCCTGAAGGCAGGACAAGAAGCAACAGATGGAAACTAACCAAAGAGAGAAGCAACCTAGAACTAAGGAGAAATTTCCTGACAGAACAATTAATCAGTGGAACAACCTGCCTCCAGAAGCTGTGAATGCTCCAACACTGGAAGTTTTTAAGAAGAGACTGGACAGCCATTTGTCTGAAATGTTATAGGGTTTCCTGCCTGAGTAGGGGGTTGGACTAGATGACCTCCAAGGTCCCTCCCAACTTTATTATTATTATTATTATTATTATTATTATTATTATTATTATTATTATTATTATTATTATTATTATTATTATTATTATTATTATTACTGCACAGTGGTTAGAATGCAGTATCGCGGTCTAATTCTGCCAACTGCCAGCAATTCGATCCTCACCGGCTCAAGGTTGATTCAGCTTTCCATCCTTCCAAGGTTAGTAAAATGAGGAGCTGAATTGTTGTGGGTAAGATCTGACTCTGTACACTGCTTAGTGAGAGCTGTAAAGTACTATGAAGCGGTATATAAGTCTAAATGCTATTGGTACGATGTTACCTAGTTGGGTGATGAAACATCTGTAGGCAAACAACCAAGCTGAGGGAGCATCAAGAACTTTTCACCCACTTAAGTTGCTTGGCTAAGAATTGACAGTTTTTCTACAAGGTAGTATTAGGAGAAGGACAATTTTGCTCATTTATTAAATTAGTTGGCCGCCTCACTCCCCACAAGGTGACCCTGGGCAGCTTACAATGTTGAAACAAAATAAAACAATGCAGAAACATGTACATAATAAGAATAAAATACGATAAAAATACAAATTAACCATATTGTAGATACAGTAAAGTAAAATAAGCATATTCACTCATTCATTCAAATTTATTAGCCATTTACTGTATTGTGCAAGTTCCATCTGTATCTATTGAGAGCCTTCTCAAATAGCGGAACTGAGACTTGTACCGTGTACCTGCTTATTTAACCCACAGATACACATATGCCCCATCTGAAATTTGGAAATAAAGTTGAAAAAACTAAAAAAAAACAGTATGCATTTTGGGGGTGGTGGGAGTGGAGTAATATGTTGGGCCATTGAAAGGACCAGAACATAAAGTAATGTATTACATTTTAAGTTGTTCTGGGGGTCATAGATGTTGCTTCCTCACCCTTAGGAAAATCCCAATAATGCTAATGGGAGTTCCCTAGGATAAATTCCAAACTTTAAAGGTTCATTTGGCACATGCAAAACATTAAGACCGTTTTGCAAATAGACTACAAATATATTTCATTTATTTTGCTATCTCACAGAACAAGATGGTTTTATAATGCTAAGACTTATTCCACAAAGTATGTCTGGAGTGATAGTTTTCTGAAATAAATGACCCAATTCAGCAAAACCCTAATTACAAAGTTCGCTGTTGAAACCGAGACATTCTTAAACATGATTTTGGAATTTGTTTCAAGGTCTTCATTGCATTCCAGAGCTAGAGGAATGTTTTTGGGAAGTCCTGAATGAATGTCTGACTTTTCATCCCGTCTTCGGGTACCAATTATCTGTGATCACTGAACGGAACAAGAAAACACTGCTTACATATCACTTTGAGTTTGTAGCTGATAGCACACAAAGCTGCTACATGCTTGCTAGCTGGCTGGTTGGGTAGCTGTCTTATGTGATACTCCAATCATAACTGGTTCTGAGCAGCTTCTACATGGAGTTCCATTAAATACAGTTTAAAATATACCTGCAAATCAAACAAATAATTCAGAATCTCACCCTGGACAATGAAAAGACTTGATTCCAACAGATTTCTTATTGCAAGCCATGGAATAATGAAAGATCAAAGTATTTATGTGAACTCATTAAAAAAAAGAGACCCTACTGAGAAACCACAGCTTGCAATATGCCAAGCAGAAGCATTTCATAAACTCTTTCTCAAGGTCTATGAAAAAAGACAGGTTTAATTGCCTTAAGGTCCAGTAAGGTTGAGATTGCATGGCTTTCAGGAAAAATCCTATTTTAAAGTCCTGAAGGTCTGCAAGTGAAAAGGTCTGAAGGCAACTTCTTCTATCCGATCTTAATAGGCAACTGAAAGAAGGCAGACATGAAGAGAGACAGGTCCAGAGTCATGCAGGATTTTAAAGATGACAACTAGCACATTACATTACACAAGGATGCAAATGTAACTACTAGAGCTTTGAGGGCAGAGGAGTCACATGAATTAACCATGAGTAGCCACAACTTCCCAAGGCGCAACATTATGGGTCAGTCGTAGCTTCTAAAATGATCTTCACAGGCAACGCCATGGAGGGTGTATTGCCATAATCCAATCCAGACTATGGGTTAACCATAAATGACAGTGAATAGTGCCTCCTAATCCAAGAAAGATCATAATTGGCACACAAGTTGTGCAAAGTCCCCTTGCTACAGCTGCCACCTAGTCCTTGAGCAGGAACTATGAATCAAGAAATATTCCTCAATTATGAACTAGATGGAAATGTAACCCTGTGCAGAAGTAGAGATGGAATTTCTCTGGGATCAGATGATTTCCTAATTCAAAACCACTCTGCTTTCCTGGGATTAAGTTTGCATTTGTTCATACCCACCCAGTTCCTAAGAGTCACCAGCACTAGGTCAAGCCATCAACTACATTATGAGCTTGACCAGAGGTTGACATTTGCTTAGGAATATTATTACAGGTCTTGTTTCCAATAGGTTTTTCTTTTGAATGAAATACAGTTCACACAAATATTCTGAAGATCTTTATTTTTTTTACAATATTATAATTTCAAAATCACATGTGTACAGAGAAGGCTTGAAAACATATTTTTGGATTGGCTTTCTCTTTTTTCCAAACACATTTTGTATAGCATTGAGGGAAATTTCTTTAGCATGGCTTGAGAAAAAATAAATTAATATCAGGTTTTAAATACTTAGTTTTATTCCATTTTTTCCAACTTGGATACTTTAACATACATTGATTTAAATTCCCAGAATTCCCTAGCCAGTTTGAGCTTTGCTGAGATTTCTGAA